TAATGGCTACAACTAAATATTAAAAAATTCTAAGGAATAAATGAATAAAAATAGCAGAATCTGTATGAAAGTAGAGCAAATACTTTAACGAAGGTCATAAAATAAGGCTTAAGTGGAGAGACATAAGTTGTTCCTAGAGGAGAAAAAACACTCTCATATAACTTAAAAAAAAAAAAGATCTTGAGAAAATGTGTTTACGGGACAGGTGGTAATTTACCATATCAAACACTAAAACATTTTAGAAGTACAATTATTAAAATATGCTACTAGTTTTGAAATAAGGAGCCAGATTTAATGCAGCAGGAAGCTCATAAAAACAAAGAATTTGGAGTTAATATACTGTAGTATTTTAGGAAGAGAAGCATAGATAGTAAATCATGGTGGTACATATGCTTAACTATTGGGGGGAAAAGCCCATTGGATTTCACCTCATATCACACAGTTAAATAATTTCAAGATGGATTAAAGAGTTGAATATCTAATGAATGGAAGTATAGGAAACTAGGAGAAAATCTAGTTGAATGTTTTTTTATTCCTAGTGAAAGACTGAGTATAACAGCAGTTGAAGAAATCGTAAAATTATTAATGAATTTGGTAAAATAAAAACAGAGAACCCCTCCCAATCTTAAAAATATCAGACTTCAAAATCGCATCAGCACTTGAGAAAAATATTTGCTGAAAATATACATTTTCGAGGGTTACTATTCTTAAGTTAAAAAGTCCTCATACAAATCAAACAGGAAACATTGGGCAATGAGCACAGGACACAAAAATAACAGATGGCAGAACAAGAAATCTTAATGCATAGAAAACATTCAGAAAATATTCAACTGCATTAGTAACAAGAGAAGTGCAAATTAAAATGAGATACAGACTTTAAACTTTCATCTACAAAATTAGCAATTTTTACATGGTAATTCAGTTTACTGATAATGGAGAAAAACTATTTCATTGCAGTTCTCTACAAATATAAGTTACTCAATCCTTTTAGCAACACCTGTCAGAGGCCCCTGGAATGTTCATAGCCTTTAACCTAGTGATTCTCCTAACAATCCATTATAAGGAGCTTTTCAGAGATGTGCATAAATATTTGCATTGTATTTATAGCATTATAGCAAAATAGTGAAAAATTGGAAGCCATATAAATGTCCCACAACAGAAATCAGATAACCTATGGACATCCACAGTGGAATATTATGCAGGTATTTCTAAACTATTTTTTAAAAATTATTGTATGTCAAGTATATTTCAATTAAAAATAAAGAAAAAATAAAGGAGAAAACTATTTTAAAAAAATTATAAATGACATATAAAATTGTTCAGAATTTATATATGGTGTAATCCAAACTATATTAAATATATATGGAGTAAGAAAAAGAGAAGGAAATATATCTAAAGGTTATGATGTTTATTGGTGATGGATTACTTTAGATTCTGAATTTTTTTAAAGAGCTTCATTTTTAGGTAGTTTTTTTTTAAGATTTTATTTATTTATTTGACAGAGAGAGAGCACACAAGCAGGGAGAGCAGCAGGCAGAGGGAGAGGGAGAAGCAGGTTCCCCACTGAGCAGGGAGCCTGATGCGAGGCTCGATCCCAGCACCCCGGGATCATGACCTGAGCTGAAGGCAGACGCTTAACCGACTGAGCCACCCAGGCGCCCCTTTAGGTAGATTTTTTATAGAAATCTATCACATACAAAAATATGCACAAATCATATTCAGCTTAAAGAATATTTAAGTTAACACACAAGTACAACCAGCAACTGCACCAAGAAACAGAAGGTCCTGAGTGCCCCAGAATCAGCCCTCACCTCCCTTGCAGTCACTGCCCCTCTTGCAAAGTAGCACCATCCTGACATCTCCCACCATTGACTACTTTTGCCTATTTTTGAGCTTCAGAACAGTTGAATCATATACAATTCATTTAGGTTCCTGGACCCAGTTCCAAACTGTGTGTTGGTACTGGTGGTGAGGGCTTCTCACATAACACCAGGCAATTCCTGGACACAAGCAGGGTGAGAATTCCACTCAATTCTGACACTATCCACCCAGAGCCAGCATCAGGTTCCACAGGTGAGGGGCTCAGTCCCACAAGACTGCACCCCCCTTCCCCTTCAGACACCAGTTGCAAGCCTGGGCGATTACCCAGGCTTCTGACCGAATGGCTTTAACAGGTTCCCGTGGCCCCCTCCTCAGGTTTGGTTAATTTGCTAGAGCGGCCCACAGAACTCAGAGAAACATTTTACTTACCACATTGCCAGTTTATTAGAAAAGGATATAACCGTGGAACAGCCGGATGGAAGCGATGCAAGGGACAAGGAATGGGGAAAGGGCGTGGGGCTTCCAGGCCCTCTCAGAGCAGGCCATTCTTCTCAGATCTCCATGCGCTCCCCAACCCGGAAGCTCTCCGAACCCTGTGCTTGGGGTGTTTATGGAGGCTTCCTTACGGAGGCATGACTCATTAAGTCATTGGCCAACTGATTCGACCTCCAGCCCTCTCCCCTCCCTGAAGGTCAATGGGTGGGACTGAAAGGTCCAACCCTCTAATCACAGCTTCCTTCCCCTGGTGACCAGCCCCCATCCTCAGGTGATCTAGAGGCTTTCCACTTCATTAATATAACAAAAGACACCTTTATCACTCTCCGCACTTAAGAAATTCCAAGGGTTTTAGGGGCTCTGCCAGAAACAGATGAAGACCAAATATATATTTCTTTTTTTTTAAGATTTTCTTTATTTATTTGAGAGAGAGTGAAAGAGAGAGAGCGAGCACGAGCAGGGGGGAGCAGCAGAGGCAGAGGGAGAGGGAGAAGCAGGCTCCCCGCTGAGCAGGGAGCCCGCCCGCCCGAGGGGCTCCATCCCAGGGCCCCGGGATCATGACCTGAGCTGAAGGCAGACGCTTAACCGACCGAGCCACCCAGGCGCCCAAAATAGATATTTCTTAATATAAATCACATCACAACTATATTCTTTGGTGTCTGGCTTTTGCTCAGTGTTCTGGTTGTGAGGTTCATCCTCGTGTGTAGCAATAGTTGGTTCATACTCATTGCTGTGTAGGCTTCCTTTGTATGAAAACACCCCCATTTAATTATTCATTATTAGTCTTAATCAGAATAAAACAACCACTTTAAAAAATAAAAATTGAAGTTACACCTCAAATTGGAGGTATTTTATCATTGAATTTTCCCCACCATATTGGCCTGCCTTTATCTAACTTGGGAGTTAATTCTCCCTTCACTCTGCCTCTGATTCCTTCCCTGGCCCGGGATGGCTAATGGGAATTAAGTCTGTCATTAAGGCGCCCCTCCCCACACAGTGATGCCAGCCGCCAGGTCTCTCCTACTACAAGATAGACTGTGATAGCACTGCGTTCTGGGTCTTTGCCTCGTTGCCGAGTTAACTGACTCAGAACCATAACTGAGCCTACAGCATTCTAGAATATATGTGGGCTTATATTTCACATACGTTCATTTAGGTTTAATATAAAATGTAACTATGGAAAACATAATTTTAGAGTTCAAGTGACGTTGGAGATAATGTCGACCAGTTTTCACCTGGCAGATGAGGAGGTGGTGTCTTTGTGGCCTGCCCAGTCCACACTGTGCAGGGGGGAGGGGCAAGCCAAAATAGACTCCTGACTCACATTTGGAGGCCTGCTGCCTTCCTAAGTAAAAAGGTTTTTGGGCTCTTTTCAAAAAGCAGTTAGGAGTTGTGTTCCCTTGTTCTTTTGTTTCCAGCATTTACTCGGTAGTCTTTCAGTTGTGAAGCATTCACTTCACAATTTGGAATTTGTGTGAGATCTTCATTCTTATTCCTAGGTGTGGCAGCCTAGCCCTTCAATTATTAAGGGTTTATTCTCAATCACTAATGGAAGAATTATTGTTTTGTCACTCTAAAATTCAGGACTCCAATTCAGTTTGAGTTGGCATTCGGAGAACATAACCCTATTTAAGTTGATTATGGTAGTAAGTCTGTGAAGTAACTTTTTTATGTGTTGCTTTTCAGGAGTAGGTGGTTTACCAGCCCTAGGTGACCAAGCAGTTCCACAAATGAACCATCTGGCAAATTTAAAAAGATACAGCTCCAACTCAGTGGAAATGGAGCTTCTCCCACTGCGCAAAAGAGGACGTACATCTTTTCCAAGGAGGGATAATATGGTTTGTATATTAAATTGAAAATCTTTCTTTGTTTTTTTCATTCTGCCTTATCTCTTTTTTTTAAAAAATTGAGTTTAATTTCATATAGTGAACAGTTCAGTGGTTTTGACAAATATGTATACCCCCCCAATCAAGATAGAGAACATTTCCACCATCCCAGAAAGTTCCCTCATGCCTCTTCCCAGTAAGTGCCCCCCCAAACTTTGGAGAAACGACATTCTGGTATTTTTCTCATCATAGATTAGTTTTGCCTGTTCTAGAATTTTATAAAAATAGAATCATACAGTATGTACTCTTGTGTCACGGTCTCTTTTTCTTAGAATAATGTTTTGGAGATTCATCTGGTTATAGTGACATTTCATTCCCATTCATTGCTGAGTAATATTCTGTTATATGAATGTCCATAATTTGTTTATCTATTCTCCTTTTGATGGACACTTGGGTTATTTCCAGTTTGGGGTATTATGAGTACAGTAGCTCTGAACATTATTATGGAAGTGTTTTTATGAACGTATGTTTACATTTAATTTGAGTGAAGACTCAGGAGTGCAAACACTGGGTCACAGAACAGATAAAGGTTAGAAGAAACTGCCAGTTTCCTGTTGTAGTTGTACTGTTTGACATTTCCATCATATTTTGCTGTGCTTCTTGATCTCTGAAGGAGAACAAAATAGATTATTAGACTATATATAATCTAGCTTACCAGAAAGTGCATTGATTTACTTATATAAGGAGGAGGACACTAGTAAGTACCTGAGTAGTATAGGCAATTTTAACTTCTGACAGCCCCAATATGTTCATCTATGGGCATAATGTTAACTACCTACCAGGAGTAATGGTTTCTGACATAATTATGTGAAAGCACTTTGAAAAGTATAAAGCAGTACACAAGGGTAAGATGACAATATTGTTTTTATAATGACTAGTCTATATTACAATTCCATATAATTTTTGCTGTCTGATAAGTTGGTAATGCAGGGCTGATTCATAAAATTTTAAAGCAAAAACACTGATAACTACTTGGTATGTTTATGTCAAAATTATTGTTATAGTCCATAATTCATCCTTAGAATAGAGTCCTTATAATTAAATATAATGGTTATTTGCTGTCCGTCTACATACTTAGACTCTGTTTTATTCCAAAAAACAATTTAAGGTGTCCTGGAGATTAATTTATTGAGAAAAATAGGTGTTTAGTGCTTCTTCTTTTGTCCACAGAGTGTCACTGTTGGATTATTTGAAAACCAAAAGCCATAAAACCTTTGGTTCTTTGTTTCTGGTTAGAAATATTTGCTTTTAAAGCAGTTCTGGTGCCAGATTACTAGAAGACTAGTCTTTTTACCCTGAAGCGCAGAAGGGGTTAAGCTTGGTAGAAAATGGCGTCTTAAGTATAGTTGGGTGAATGAGAAAACAGTTCAGTGAGTACAGTTGGCCCTTGAACAATGCGGGCGTTAGGGGTGCTGACCCCCTGCACAGTCGAAAATCCCTGCGTAACTTTTGACTCCCCCAAAACTTAACTACTAATAGCCTACTGTTAGCCAGAAACCTTACCAATAGTCAATTAACACATATTTTGCATGTTATATGTATCACATACTGTATTTGAACAAAAAAGCAGGGTAGAGAAAAGAATGCTAGTAAGAAAATCATAAGGAAGAGAAAATACATGTATAGTATTGCACTATATTCTTTGAAAAAACTCCGCCTATAAGTGGACTTGCACAATTTACACCCGTGTTGTTCAAGGGTCAGCTGTATATCTTTTTGTGTTGTTGTATTTGTGGTGAGCCTTTGGCGCTTGTTGAAAGCAGAATTGAAGTCCTGAATGTTTCTTCAGTTCTTTTCGTTCATATTTTCTTTTGGTTTATTAATAAATTGTTCCTGGATAAGAACACGAATACCCGATTGGGAAGAAGTTGGAAGTGTCATTAATGAATGCATATCAGACTGAATATTTACATAATATTAATTGCTAATTCCCAAATATTCACACTTACTATCATAAAGAAAATTATTTAAGTTCTTTTTCAGCCTTCACGTGCTGTGGAGTAACTCAACTTGAGAACTGAAGGAAATATTTCTCTCTCGTGACTTTGTATGCTTCCATAGCAATGAACAAGACAACACTTAACCATTTGATTTCCTTCTTTTCCTTATCTAATAGGAGATTCACAGCAGTTTCCTACCCTGTTTGAGTAGCTTTTCTCATTTTTTTTTTTTAAAGATTTTATTTATTTATTCATGAGAGACAGAGAGAGAGAGAGAGGCAGAGGGAGAAGCAGGCTCCCAAGGAGCAGGGAGCGTGATGCGGGACTCGATCCCACGACCCCGGGATCATGACCTGAGCCGAAGGCAGACGCTTAACCGTCTGAGCCACCCAGGCGCCCAGCTTTTCTCATTTTTGAAATAATTTTAGATTTACAAAACAGGTGCAAATATATTACAGAGAGTTCTCATGTATACACTTCATACAACTTCCCTTAATGTTAACTTACCTGTATAACTTAAAATTAGGGTAATTATATAAGCATCGTACTGTTTTCATAGCCACGATATTGACATTGTTACAGTACTATTAGCTCAACCGCAGTACTTGTTGGAATTTCAGCATTCTTCTCCCCCTTGTCCTTTTTCTGCCCCAGGCTCCATTCCAGTACCCCACACTGAGTTTACTTGTCTCTCCTCAGTTTCTTCCAGTCTGCGACAGTTTCCTCATTCTTTCCTTGTCTTTCATGACCTTGACATTTGTGATGACTGTACCGATCAGTTATTTTGTAAAATGCCTCTCAATTTTGGTATGTCTGATATTTTCTCTTGAGTAGATTGAGGTTATGCATTTTTGCAAGGACACCACGCAAATGTTGTTCCCTTACTGAATCGTTATCAGGGGAACAGGATGTACATGTATCTTTTGACTGGTGATGTTAACATCGATCTCTTGGTTAACGTGGTATCTTCTGGATTTTTCTGCTGTAAAGTTACTGTTTTTCCCTTTGTGGCTAATAAATCTTAGGTGGGGGGTACTTTGGGACTCTGCTGATACCCTGTTTCTCCTCAATTTTTTGCCCACTGAGTTGAGTTAGCTCGTGGATTTTACTTGCAACATTCACTACTATGGTGTTGGCCAAATGGTGACCATTTCCCTCATTCCCATGTATATATTAAAAGGAATTCATTTGTAAGGAAGAGCTATCCTTTCTATTCCATTTATTTATTCAGTTATATATTTTATATCTATATGGACTCATGGGCATTCACTGTATATTGTACGAGTTTTTTATAATCCAATGTTATTATTTTATTGATCAAATTTTCCAACTTTGGTTATTGGGAGGTCCTTCCAGTTGGATCTTGTGGCCTTTTTACATGCCCCCACTTTTTTTTTTTTAAAGATTTTATTTATTTATTTATTTATTTGACAGAGAGAGACAAAGCTAGAGAAGGAACCACAAGCAGGGAGAGTGGGAGAGGGAGAAGCAGGCTTCCCATGGAGCAGGGAGCCCGACACTGGGATCATAACCTGAGCCAAACGCAGAGGATTAATGACTGAGCCACCCAGACGCCCCATCCCCCACTTTTTTTTTGAGCACTTCCTGATTTTCTGACATCACAAGATGTGCTAGGCTCATTCATACTTTTCCTGACCCAGCCCTGAAATTCACCTTTCTCCAAGGAGCCCTGGTGCCTTTATTGGAGACTGGTATTTAGAAACCAAAATCTGGACACTAGATATGTTCATTGCTAGTTTTTTGTCATTGATCTTAGGTCCTCCCAGTGAACAGAGCTAGGAAATATGTGTATACTATTCCATGCATACACATACATCTTTATTTCTATATCTGTCTTTGTATATATTATAAACTATGGGTTCATACTGATATTCAGTAGCTTTTCTTAAACCTAGGTTCTTATATGATAACTTCTTTCCTCATCCCCTTTTTAATCAGCTCTTACCTGTTTCATTCTCGTGTGAATATGGGTTTTGGTTTTACTTTATCTCTGTTTTATATTATAAGACTTGAAATGCTTTTGGAACGTAGATGAAAAAGAAAATAATTAAAACTGAAAAATATATAAAGTACTGCTTTGGGGTGCCTGGGTGGCTCAGTTGTTAAGCGTCTGCCTTCAGCTCAGGTCATGATCCCAGGGTTCTGGGATCAAGCCTCGCATCGGGCTCCCTGCTCGGCGGGAAGCCTGCTTCTCCCTCTCCCACTCCCCCTGCTTGTGTTCCTGCTCTTGCTGCCTCTCTCTCTGTCAAATAAATAAATAAATAAATAAAAATAAAGTACTGCTTTTTCCACTGCTTAGTTTGGGTCCTAGTGATATTAAGCATTGACTACTTATTTTTATAATATGAATAGGAGAGAAATGAATCTGAAGGTTTCTGTGAAGAAAATCATCAAAACCAACTTATGGAACTCCCAACACCATTGCGAGGTTATCAGATTTCGGTCTTTGAATCTTTTCTTTTTTTAAAGATTTTATTTATTTATTTGACAGAGAGAGAGATAGTGACAGCAGGAAAAATGTAGTTCTTCAAAATTTTGAGTAAAATGTTTTTTTTTTACCTCATTTAATATCACTGTGCTATTAATAGAAATTCTGTCATGTCAAATTCTGTATGATTATCAGTCCATTGTGATGCATTTCAAAAAATTTTCTAGTTAGAACAGTATCCCTAGGTGAAAAATTTGAAGTAAAAATATGGCTTTTGTAGCTTAAACGAAACCCAACAGCCCATAACTGGTCAAATGTAGTTAAATCTCTTTCATCTAGATTGTTCAATATTTAATTTCTCCAATATACTCTCTTATGGAAATTGGCTGATTTCAATGAGATTTAGTATGTGCCTAAATGCCTATCAAAATATCTCAATTGAAAGAAAATGGCAGCATACCATTGTTTTTTTAAAGAGCATATCTTGCGTAGTTTGTAGTTTGGAGGGAATTTTGGAAAAGTTAGCTTGCTGGTGGAGATTGATGGGTGTAATTATCAAGGATTTTGTGAGCTGCATCCTCTAGAGGTAATGGAAGTTTGCTTTTTAAAAAGTAGTTAACATACAAAGTTTGTTGGATTAAAATGAGCTACCGTGCCTAAGTAAAGAATGTTTAGGTGAGTCTTTATCACTGTTACTGAGAACAGAAGTGGACTGCTTCAAGGGAACATATCAGGTCTTTGGGGAAGGGTGTACGGGGAGGGGCGGGGGGCGGTGGGAGGGGGGTTCTGATGGCCTGCCTCACATAAGCACCCACGACACCCCGGGCTGCCACTGCTCTGCCAGGGCCTCCTTTCTGAGCGACGGTGTAAGATGTGGTGGGCTAGAACGTGGAGGAGGAGAAATGCCCAGGGGCCCAAGTCACAGCCCTGAAACGGACCATCGGGGATCCTCCCCATTTCTCCCAGTGTGCTAACTCTCTCCTTTCTTCGACCCCTTCCCTTACCAGTCTAGACCAGTTGCTGCACACTTCCATTTTTTCCTTTTCTGTCCTTGCCCAGAGTCCTCTTTAGGAAGACCCCAGCCCTGCACAGGCTGGGAAGCAGAGGGGGCACCTGCTGGGACCTGTCCACTGTCCTGTGGTCCTTCGACAGCGCTCTGGTCAGTTCCCTCCTCATCCCCCACAAGCTCTGGATGGCCCGGCCTTCGCCTCTTATTTCAGGGAGGCCGAGGGGGAGCGGGGGAGTGAGGCTGAAATCCCTCCAAGTCCCGATTCTTCTCCCCACAGCCAGCCACTAGCCTGGGATCTGTCCTTCGGGCATCTCCCTCTATAAGGCTAAGGCCGGCACTGCTGTCTGCCTCTGAGCCTCTTTCCCTGTGCCGGGACACCTCCCTTCATCAGTGGCCACTTCCTGCACCCTCAGCTTCCGTCTCCATCACTCTCTTCATCCCCTCCCACAGCTTAACCACACCTCTGCTTTGGGCCTCCCATCCCTCTTTCTGTCATGCTTTCTCTCTCCTTCCCTTAAAAACCCAGTTCTTTGAACATCATTTATGTTCACTGTCTAAGCATCTGACTTCCTGTGTTCTCTCTGTTTCGGTATTTTTGAATCTACTCTTCCTTCTGCCCTCTCTGCCCTTCCGTGCATCTTTACCTAGTGAACACCGCCTTGTCTTTTAATCCTCAATGTAGACATCTTCTCTGAAAAGCCTGCCACGACTGCCCGCCTAGGTTAGGTCTTGCCCTTCTGTGCACACTTGGCCTCCCATTCTCACCTGTGTTGTAGCCATCAGAGTCATAATAATAATATGTATAGTAATGGATGATTGAGCACTATTGGACCAGTCGTCATGTAGCACTGTTGTTAGGATGGTAGTATTAACATCATACCATGGCGTCTCACTTAGTCCTCAAGAGAACTCTGAGAGTCTCATCTTGATTCTATACATGAGGAAATTGAGGCACAGAGAAGTTAAGTGACTCACCCAAGGTCACACAGCTGATAAGCGACAGAACGCTAGTCTTTGCACCCAAGTGTGTTCCCCTAGAGCCTGCCCTGTTGACTTCAGTGCTATAAGCCAATGGGTCTCACTTGATCAGGCAGCAGCAGAACCACCTGGAGGGCTTGTGAAAGCAGATTGCTGCCCCGGCTCGCAGAGTTCCCAGTTCAGCAAGTGAGGGGTGGGAGATGGTGCATTTCCAACAAGCCAGCGGGAGACGTTAATGCTACTGGTCTGAGACCGCGCTTTGAAAACTGCTGCTCTGGGCTGCCCATCACTTTACTGAAATCCGTTCTCTCCAGCTAACATGGCAGTTCCTTAGGGCAGGAGCTGGTTGTTTTCTCGTTTTCTCTCTGTCCATATTCCCAGCACCTAGCAAAGCAGTTCTGAGAAGTAATAAGTAGGCCCTTGATAAATGTTTATTTGAGTGAATGAATAAGGAAATGGTTCTGGCCTCCTGTTTAAGTGTATTTTTGGCCTGAATGAAATTTCTGTGTATTTGAAGAATTCTCAGGTTTTTTAGTCACATACTGGTTGGCTATAGGGGACATGTACTCAAAGGTTTTTGTAAGGTTAATTGTTGATTGCCTGATTTTGAAATACTTTGGAGCCAGAAGTCACACCTGTTATATTTGGCTCACTGTTCTTTCCAGCATAGAATGCTCACTGCCTGTGAATTCACACCATGGTTCTATGGAAAGAGGCTCTTTGGCCTTTTAGCAGATTTGAAGCTTTCTTACCTACAGTAGCCCTTTCCTTGACATAAAATGACTCCATCATAAATGTGGTGGCTTATAAGAATGGTGGTACATTTACTTTCCTGTATTAAAGCTTCTTATTTTTTTTTTTTAAAGATTTTATTTATTTATTTGACAGAGAGAGCGAGAGAGCACAAGCAGGGGGAACAGTAGAGGGAGAGGGAGAAGCAGGCTCCCCGCCAAGCAGGGAGCCTGATGTGGGGCTCGATCCCAGGACCCTGGGATCATGACCTGAGCTGAAGGCGGTCACTTAACCAACTGAGCCACTCAGGCGCCCCTAAAGCTTCTTAAAATGCCTGTATGGCCTGGAGTAGTTGAATAGGTGGTTGGGGCTCCTTATCTCAGCCAGCTGGGCTCTGTGTCACCAAAACCAGGCATCAAGTGGCATTAACCAGGCATTTCTGATGGCTTGAGAGCTTTCTTTGTAGCAATTAAAATTGGCTTAATGGTATTTTCTTATACGTTACTTTTCTTTTGAAATAGGAGCTGCTAAAACACTTGTTTTATTATAATAGGGTTTGCAAGAACTTATTGAAAACACAAATAAGCAGGTAAGCAACCTTTGTGGAATCATTTCAAAAATGCAGCCTTCTTGGGAGAAACCACTGCTGCCAAACTGTGTAAGTATTATGAAAACATTTTTGCTACTTTGATAAGCCTCTAGTTCCTAAAGATACCAGTCACTTAGAAGTGAGAGAGAACTAATGACTCTGAGATTAGCAAGGCCGCCGTACACTTACTTTAGCAACAGGTGGGACAGTCAACCTCTCTTGAAAGAATGCTGAAGTTCAGGTTTGAGAAATCATGATACTGAATATTTTTATGTTTGTAACCATAATGTATAAAATGCAATCAAAATGTAGGGTTGAAGAGAAATAAAAATCACATAATAAAAATTCAGCCTTTATCCTGAACTGTGGAAAATGATGTTGCAAAGAAAGGAGGCATTCATGGTTTTTTTTTAAATAATTTTTTATTGTTATGTTAATCACCATACATTACGTCATTAGTTTTTGATGTAGTGTTCCATGATTCATTGTTTGTGCATAACACCCAGTGCTCCATGCAATACGTGCCCTCTTTAATACCCATCACTGGGCTAACCCATCCCCCTCCCCTCTAAAACCCTCAGTTTGTTTTTCAGAGTCCATCATCTCTAACGGTTCGTCTCCCCCTCCGACTTACTCCCCTTCATTCTTCCCCTCCTGCTATCTTCTTCTTCTTCTTTTTTTTTCTTAACATATATTGCATTATTTGTTTCAGAGGTACAGATCCGTGATTCATCAGTCTTGTACAATTCACAGTGCTCACCATAGCACATACCCTCCCCGATGTCTATAGGAGGCATTCATGTTTTTTTTAAAGATTATTTATTTATTTATTTACCTGACAGAGAGAGACACAGCGAGAGAGGGAACACAAGCAGGGGGAGTGGGAGAGGGAGAAGCAGGCTTCCCGCCGAGCAGGGAGCCCGACGTGGGGCTCAATCCCAGGACCCTGGGATCATGACCTGAGCCGAAGGCAGGTGCTTTACGACTGAGCCACCCAGGCGCCCCGAGGCATTCATGTTTGTATCGACTTTTTAAGATGATTTATAATGGGTTTGTGTTATTTTAGAGGTCATCTGGATTTGCACAAAAAAAGTTTTAATTGTCTGCCTCATGGAGAAGTTCAAGTTCAGGAACCAAAGAAGAGAGCATAACCCATTGTATTCTTTTACCCTGGACAGGAAGACGGCGGCCCATCCAGACCAGTGAGAAGGCAGGAGAACCATGCCCGGCGTAACCCTGTAGGGATAGCTCTCCAGCCAGCCACTCTCCCGGAGCTGCAGGAGCTGGTCCTCAGAGAGACTCCACCAGCTCCCAAAATTGTCTCCACATATTCATTACAGCCTAGTGTCACACCAGGCAACCCAGTTCCTGGTCTTGCTGTCCTGTCCTACATTTTCAGTGAAGGAGGTGAAGGGGCCACCAGGGATCTCTCCTCTGTCCAGCCTCCCCTGGCTCTGCCTGCAGCACTTCTGCCCCCAGGAGAACCCCGTGTGGCACACGCCCCCAAGATGGCCAGGTGCCCAACTGTACGGGGACAAGGCTGCGCGGGCCTGGGCCCGGCCTCATCGGCTTTCTGCATCCCCCCCAGTTTCGGTGAGTTTACAAATAGCATCCTTTCATCTGGATTAAAAAGCATTCTTAATGCAAACTAGCAATAGCTGGTTTTTAAATTGAACTATAGTTGGCTATAGCTATTTTTTTCACTAAAAGTTTTAGGAGATAAGTGTAGATTCACATGTAGTTTTAAGAAACAATCCAGTGATGCCCCATACCCAATTTCCCTAGAAGGTAACATCTTGTAAAACTCCAGTGAAATGTCCCGAGCAGGATATTGATGTTGCTATAACGCACAGATCTTATTCAGCTGTCCCTGGGTTGACTCGTTTTCACTGTGTATTTGTGCGTTTGGTTCCGTGCAGTTTCATCAAGTGAGGTTTGCGCGTCCACAGCCACAGTCAAGGTACAGAGCGTTTCCATCACCAGGAGGCTCACTTGAGTTGCCCCTCTGTACCACACCCGTCATCCTCTGGTGGTCGCGCCCTCCCTATTCTCCTTTCCCTGACTCTTGGCAACCACTGGCCTGTTCTCTATCTCTAAAAATTTGTCGCTTCAACAGTGTTATATAGTTGTATGCATATAGTATGTCACCTTTTGAAATTGGCACTTTTTAAAATTATTATCATTCCAGGTAAGTCCCTGAAGATTAAACCAAGTTGTTACGTGTATCACTAGTTCCTTCCTTTTTATTGCTCGGTCCTGTTCCATGGTATAGGGATGCTGTAGTTTAACAGTTCATCTGTCGAGGCAGATTTTTGGTTGTGACCCCTCCCCCCCCCCCGTGTTTGATTATCAGGAGTAAGGCTGCTGTGAATATTCATGCACAGGTTTTTGCGTAAGTAGAAGTTTTCATTTCTTGGAGATGAATACCTAGGAGTGCAATTCCTGGTTATATGTTAATTGCATGTTTCGTTTTAGGAGAAACTACGCGTACTGTTTTATGTTTCGGCCAGCTATGTATGAGTGATCCAGTTTCTCTGCATCTATATTTCTGATCTTTCCATCGTTCTTTCTTCTGACGTTTCATGATTCCTTCTTTCCTCATATCCTTCCTCATAGAAGATTTTCCTTTAACCTTTCTGTAGGAGTAAGTCTGCCGGGGACAAAAATCTTTTAGTTTTCCTTTGTGTGAGATGTCTTTATTTCCCTTTCTTTCTGGAAGGATAGTTTCATCCAGTATAGAATTTGTGCATGCGAGTTCTTTTATTACAGCCCCTGAAAACTTTTTATTTATAGAAATGCCAGGAAAAGCAGAAGCCAGCCTTGGAAACAGCACTGAGTCAATATATTGCCCAACTTCATTGGGAGATGACAGTGGCCAAGATACTATCTCATCTGTTTACATCCTTCCTAATTTTGGTGAGTTTGAAATGATACATGGATTCACCAACATCCTTAGTGCCAAGTCAGGGCCAGCTCCTTTTTTAATGAAGCTTTTTATTTTTAGATAATTGTAGATTCACATGTAGTTGTCAGAAATTATGTAGGGATCCCATTTATGTTTTATGCATTTTCTCCAATGATAACCTCTTGTAAAACGATAGTAAAATAACACAACTAGGTGCTGGCATTGATTCAATCCACATTTGTATGTGTGTGTGTATTCAGTTCTATGCAATTTTATTCCATGAGTTTTATTTATCATCACAGTTGTGATCCAGAATGCTTCCGTTTTCACTGCCTATTGCCCTTTATGACCTTAAGCACCTCCCTCTGGCCACCCTTTCCTCCTACCCTAGCAAAGGGTGAACTCATCTCCCTTTCTAGAATTTTGTCACTTGAATATTGTTATTTACATGGAATAAAATACTATATAACCTTTTGGGCGTAGCTTTTTTTCCCCCTAAACATAATTTTCTGGAGATTCATACCAATTGTTGCATGTATCAGGAGTTTCTTCCTTTTTATTGTTGAATGCTCTCCCATGGTATGGATGTACAACTGTTTATCTGTTTCTTTACCCATGGAAGGATGTCGAGGATATTTCCAATTTGGGGCCATCAGAAGTTTAACTCTGTGAACAGTTATGTACTCGCTTTTGTGTACACTTAAGTTTATATTTTTTTGAGGTGAATGCCCATGAGGGCAATTCTGGGTCATATGATAATTTCGTGTGTAGTTTTGTAAGAAACTGCTAAAGCTTTTTTTCAGAGGAACTGTGCCATTTGACCTTCCACCTGTAATATAGAAGTGATACAATTTCTCTGTACGCCTATATCTTTTCTTTCCATTGTTCTTTCTTCTTGATGCTCAAAGATCCATTCTTTCATCATGTCTTTTCTGTTTGAATATTTTCCTTTTGTCTTTCTTTAAGGGTAAGTCTGCAAGGGACAAGTTCTTTTAGTTTTTCTTCATGTGACAATGTCTTTATTTCCTATACAGTAAGGAAGGGTAGTTTTGCTACATATAGAATTAACGGTTGAAAGATCTTTCCTTAAGCACTTGAAAAATGTTCTTTCCTTACAAATGCCAGTAATAGCAGAGACCAGCTTGGAAAACAACCCCAAGCCGACAAACTACCCAACTTCATCGGGAAATAACGGTGACCAGTGTTCATCTATCTGCCTCCCACCCAATTTTGGTGAGTTTCAAATAATGCGTATTACAAGTATCACTGTTTAATCTGGATGCATCAACATCTTTAATGGAAGCTAGTGGTAGCTCTTTTTTTTTAAATTAAGCTTTTTATTTTGAAACAATTTTAGATTCATGTATATTTATAAGAAATAATATCAAGACATCTGTTTTACACTTTGCCCATTTCTCCCACTGTTAACATCTTGCAAAGCTGTAGTAAAATATCACGACCAGGGTACTGACATTGATACAATACACGGATGTTATTGAAATGTGCCCAGTTCTACTTGTAGTGATTTGTGTGCATTTGTATTTATTTCGATCTCATTTTATCACATGAGTAGGTTTGATGTCCACCACCACAGTCAGGATACAGAACATTTCCATTGCCATTGGAATGCCTCATCTTGCCCCCTCCTTAAAAGATTTTATTTATTTATTTATTTATTTATTTATTTATTTATTTATTTATCATTTGAGAGAGAGAGTGCACGTGAGTGCCTGAGTAGGGGGCAGGGGCAGAGGGAGAGGAGGAGAGAGAATCTCAAGCAGACTCCTCACTGAGTGCGGAGAAGCCCGATGTAGGACTTGATCCCACAACCCTGAGATCATGACCTGAGCTGGAACCAAGAGTCCGAGGCTTAACAGACTGAGCCACCCAGGCGCCCCTCATCTTGCACTTTTAGAACCACACTCGCCTCTCTCAGGCTGCCCTTTCCTTCCTCATTGTCCATTTCCCTAGCCCCTGGCAAACACTGCTCTCTATCATTTTGTCACTCCAAGAGTGTTCTATAAAGGGAATCTTATGGTATATATCCTTTGAAGATTGTTCCGTTTTTTTCAGTCAGCGTAATTCCCTGAAGATTCGTCCAGATTGTTGCATGTATCAGTACTTCCTCCCTTTCCTGTGGTTGGCAATGTGCAATGGTTGCTTGCAACCATTTGCCCACTGAAGCACATTAGTTGTTGTCCCCCCCCAACCCCAGTTTTTGGTATTAGGAGTAAAGCTGCTGTGAACATCCACATCCTGGTTTTTGTGTAAATATGTTTTTGTTTCTGTCGTGAATGTCAAAAGAGTGCTGTTGTTGAATCTTATGGTAATAGCTTGTTTAGTTTTATAAGCAACTGTCAAACAGCTTTCCAGAGAGACTGTACCAATTTTCCTTCTCACCAGCAACGTATTAGTGATCATGTCTCTCCGAGTCCACGTTTCTGTTCTTCCCATTGTTCTTTCTTCCTTCCTGATGTTCCAAATTTCCTTCCTTCATCATGTCCTTTCTGTTTGAAGATTTTCCTTTGATCTTTCTCTACAGGTAAGTTTGCTGGGGACAGATTCTTTTAGATTTCCTTTGTTGCACAATGTCTTTCTTTCACCTTTTTCCTGAGGATAGTTTTGCCTCATGTAGAATTCACAGCTGAGGGTGCTTGTCTTTCAGCGGTTGAAAAATTCATACTTATAGAAATGCCGGAAAAATCAGAAACCAGCCAGGAAAACAGCTCTGAGACCATCTATTACCCAGCTTTATTGGGAAGTATCAGTGGCCCAGATACTGACTCTTCATCTGCCTCACTCCCACCCGATTTCGGTGAGTTTGAAATGATACATATCACATGTAGCACTGTTTAATCTAGATCCATCAACATCCTTAATACAAGCCAGTTACAGCTCTTTTTGAAACTTTTAATTTTGACGTAATTTAAGATTCAGTGCAGTTGTAAGAAATAATACAGAGAGATCCCGTTTATGCTTTATGTATTTTCCCCAGTGACACCACCTTGCAGAACCATAGTTAGTGTTACAACCCAGACATTGACATTGATACAATTCACAGGTGTTATCGAGATGCCTCCATTTTTACTTGTATCTGTGTGTGTATGTGTGTGTATTTAGAACTATGTAATTTTATCGTGTGAGTGGGTTCCCACGTCTCCTGCCACAGTCAAGGTAGAGATCATTTCCATCACTCAGGGCTCCGTCATTACTGTGTCTTTTTACAACCACACCTACCTTCCCTGCCCCCAAGACCCATCTTTTTTTTTTTTTTTAAAGATTTTATTTATTTATTCATGAGAGACAGAGGCAGAGGGAGAAGCAGGCTCCCTGCGGAGCAGAGAGCCCAATGTGGGGCTCGATCCCAGGACCCTGGGATCATGACCTGAGCCGGAGGCAGACGCTTAACCGACTGAGCCACCCAGGCGTCCCCCCAAGACCCATCTTTAACACTGGGCTATCTCTGATCTTTTCTCCATTTCTGTAATTTTGTCTCTTCAGATTGTTATATAAGTGGAGTCATACATGATGTAATCTTTTGGGATTAGCTTTTTTTTTCCCCACTCAGATTAATCGCCTGGAGACTCATCCGGTTTGTTGAATGTATCAATAGTTTATTACTATTAGTGCTGAAAATAGTGCGATGGATATATTACATTTTGCCTAACCGTTCACTTGTTGAAGGACGTCTGGATTTTTTTCAGTGTTTGGCTATTAGGAGTAAAGCAGCTATAAATATCCATGTACACATTTTTGGGTAAATAGAAGTTTTCATTTCTCATCTATTGATGGAGAGTTTCCCATGGTATAGATACACAGCAGTTGTTTTTTTTTTTTTTAAACATTCACACATTGAAGGACATCTTTTTTTTTTCTTTCCAAGTTTGTGGATACTAGAAGTAAAGCTGAGCTGCTGTGAATGTTCATGTACTGATTTTTGTGTAAATACAAGTTTTCATTTCTCTGTCATGAACGCCCAGAGTGCAATCGCTGGGTCTTATGGTAATAGCATGTTTAGTTTTATAAAAACTGCCAAACAATTTTCTGGAGAGGCTGGACTATTCTACATTCCTAGTAACAATGTATGGGTGATCCAGTTTCTCCTCATCTATATTTCTGATCTTTCTGTCATTATTTCTTCTCTACTGATGCTGCAAGATTCCTTCTTTCATACTATCCTTTCTGTTTGGAGATTTTTCTTTAGCTATCTTTTAATAGTAAATCTGCTAGGAACAAATCTGCTAGGAACAATTTTTTAAAAAATTTTCCTTTGTGTGAGCATGTCTTTATTCCCCCCTTCTTTCCTGAAAGATAATCCCACTCAGTATAGAATTCACAGTTGAGAGTTCTTGTCTTTCAGGACTTGAAAAAGTTATACTTGTAGAAATGCCAGAAAAAGTGGAAACCAGCCTGGAAATCAGCTCTCAGACAGTGTGTTACCAAACTTCATTGGGAAATGACAGTGGCTCAGCTCCTGCCTCTTCATCTCTCTCCATCCCACTCAATTTCGGTTAGTTTGAAATGATACTTATTTCAAGTAGCACTGTTGAATCTAGAAGTATCACCATCCTTCGTGTCGGCTAGTGACAGCTTTTTTTTAAATTAAACTTTTGATACTGTGGTAATTTAAGATACCCATGTAGTTGTAAGATGTAATACAGAGAGATCTCATTTATGTTTTATCCATTTCTGCCCACAATAACATCTTGCAAAACTATGATAGAACATCACAACCAGGGTACTGACATTGATACCATCCACAGATCTTATTGAGATGTCCCCAGTTTCATTGTATTGGTTTTGTGTATGTGTTTAGTTCTGTTTGATTTTATCACATGAGTAGGTTTGATGTCCACTGCCACAGTCAGGATACAGAACATTTTCATCACCATGAGGATGCCTCATCTTGCCTTTTTGTAACTGCACCCATCTGAGCATAATTCCCTGGAGAGTCATCTGACTTGTTGCATGTATTAACATTTCCTTCTTTTTAACTGCTTTGTACTATTCCGTGGTGTGGGTGTTCACGGTTTGTGTATTGGTTGAAGAATGTCTGGACTTTTTTCCAGCTTTCAGTATTGCAAGTAAAATTGCTGTGACCATTTATGGACAGGTTTTTGTGTAAACATAAATTTTGATTTCTCTCAGATAAATGCCCAAGAGTGCAAATGCTTGGTTCTATGGTAACTGCATGTTTAGTTTTATAAGAAACTGCCCCATGGTTTTCCAGAGAGGTGGTACCATTTTACTTTCCCACCAGCAGTGTATGAGTGATCCAGTTTCTCTTCATCCAGATTTCTGCTGCTTTTTTGTTCTTTCTTCCTTTTTAATGCTCCACATTTTGTTTTTTCATCATTCTTTTCTGATAGATTTTCATTTAACCATTCTCAAATGTAAGTCGGCTAGTGACAAAGACTTTTGGCTCTCCTTTGTGTGAGAATGTCATGATCATGATTTCCCCTTCATTCATTCATTTTTTTTTTAAGAGTTTGGATATTCATTTCTTGTTTTCAGCATCATTGAGGTATAATTGACAGATAAAGTTGTAATATATTTAGAGAGTGTACAGGGTGATGACTTGATGTACATGTACATAGTGATATGATTCCTGCCATTGAGTTCATTAACATATCCACCATCTCACATATTTACCTTTTATATTTTGGTGGGGGGAATGCTTAAGTTCTACTCTCTAAGCAAATTTCTTTTTTTTTTTTTAATTTTATTTATTTGAGAGAGAGAGAGAGCAAGAGCAAAGAGGAGAGGCAGAGGGAGAGGGAGAAGCAGACTCTCTGCTGAGCAGGGAGCCCGATGCTGGACTCGCTTCCAGGACCCTGGGATCATGACCTGAGCTGAAGGCAGCTGCTTAACCAACTGAGCCACCCAGGCGCCCCTAAGCAAATTTCAATGATACAATACAGTATTATCAGCTAAAGTTACCATGCTGTACATTAGATCCTCCATCCTTACTTACCTTATAACTGAAAATTGGTACCTTTTTACCAGCCTCACCCTACTTCCCTCACCCCCCTGGCCCCTGGCAACTGCCATTCGTTTATTCTACCTTCTGTTTTTATGAATTTGACTTTTTTTCTTTTTAGATTCCACAGGTAAGTGATACCATGCAGTATTTGTCCTTTTTACTGTCTGGTATTTCACTTAGCATAATGCCCTCCAAGTCCATTTGTTAATGTTCTCACAAATCTGCTCCTTTATTGAAGGACAGTTTTGCCCGATCTAGACTTCATGGTTGAGATTTCTTGTCTTTCAGTATTTGAAAATATTTTATTTGTAGGAATGATGGTAAAGGCTCAAACCAGCCCAGAAGAGAACCCTGAGACAATAAGTTATCCAGTTTTATTTGAAGACAGCAGTAATCAAGACGTTTCCTCATTATGTTGCTGTATTCCTCCCAGTTTTGGTGAGTTTGAAATGATACATTTGACATGTAGCATATTTAATCTAGATTCATCAACATCCTTAGTGTAAGATAGTGGTAGCTTTTTCTTTTCTTTAATTAAAAAAAAAAGATTTTATTTATTTATTTATTTGAGAGAGAAGAGAGAGAGAGAGAGACAGCCCGAGCAGGGGTGAGGGGCAGAGGCAGAGGGAGAAGCAGACTTCCTGCTGAGCAGGGAGCCCGGTATGAGACTCGATCCCAAGACCCTGGGGTCATGACCTGAGCCAAAGGCAGACACTTAACCGACAAGGCCACCCAGGCGCCCTGATAGTGGTAGCTTTTTCTGATCAAAGTTTTAATTTTCAGAAAAATTTAGCTGCACATGCAGTTGTAAAAAAGAATAGACAGATCCTGTGTTCCCATTCTCCAATTTTCCCCAATGGTTAACATCTTGCAAAAAGAATAGAAAATTATCGCAACCAAGATATTGATATGATACCGTCCACAGATACAATTGAGATGTCCCCAGTTTCACTTGTATTAATTTGTGTGTGTGTGTGTGTGTGTATTTAGTTCTGTACAATTTTATCATGTGCGTAGGTTCATGTATCCTCTGCCACAGCAAGCCCTAAAACAGTTCCCTCATCACCATTTTCCCTCATATTGCTCTTTTGTAACCACACCCACCTCCCTCCAGAGGACTTTTCTCTCCAGTTCCATGCCCTGCCCTGTCTCTAACTATTGGCAGTCTGGAATCTGCCCTCCAGATCTATAATTTGTCCATTTAACGTTGTTATAGAAATGGAATCGCATGCTGTTTGAGATTGGCTTCTTTCCCTCAGTGTACTTCCGTGGGGACTCGTTCATGTTGCTGCATGTATCAGTCCTTTCTTCCTTTTTATTGCTGAGTACTATTCCAATGTGTGGATACACCGAGATTTATTTATCTGTTCACCTGTTCAAAACCTCCGGGTTTCCCTGTTTTTAGCTGTTAGGGGTCGAGCTGCTATGAATACTTGTTTATCATTTTTAGTTTTGCTTCATGTCATTCATTTCACCCTTTCACACAAGTTTTTATTTCTCTGGGATGAATGCCCAAGAGTGTAATTGCTGGGTCCTTTGGTAATTGCATCCTTAGTTTTATAAGAAATTGACAAACTGCTTTTCAGCGTAGTTGTACCTTTTTCCATTCCTGTCAGCAATGTATGAGTGATCCAGTTTCTCTGCATCCATATTTCTGCTCTTTCAATTGTTCTTTCTCCTTGATGCTCTGGAATTCTTTCTTTTATATGCTTTTTTTTCCCTTTAAATTTTTTTATTGTTATGTTAATCACCATACATCATTAGTTTTTGATGCAGTGTCTTTTATATGCTTTCTTAAGAAGATTTTCCTTTAGCCATTTTTAAAGCATAAATCAGTTAGTGACAAATATTTTTGGTTTTCCTTTGTCCATAAATACCTTTATTTTTGCTTCAATACAGAAGAATAGTTTCATTGGTTATAGAACATGAGGTTGATAGTCTTTTCTTACAGCATTTAAAAAATGTTGTCCTTATAGAAGTGATGGTCAAAGCAGAAACCGGCCTGGAAAATAGCACTCAGATGACAAATTACAAACCTTTGCTGGAAAATGACAGTGGTCAAGAAACTTCAGCATATTTCTTCATCCCTTCCAGTTTGGGTGAGTTGAAATGATGCATATTACAAGTAGCACTGTTTAATCTAGATTCATTAATAACCTTAATGTGACCTAGTGGTAGCTTTTCCTAATTAAAAATTAATTAGAACTAATTAGGTAAAAAATTAGAAGTTTTATTTTGAGAAAATTTTAGCCGCACATGTAATTTTAAGAGAGATCTGTGTACACTTCACCCAGTTTCCCCCAGTGATGCCATCTCGCCGAACTACAGGATCACAACCAGTGTATAGACATTGATAGAATCCACAGATTTTATTGAGATGTTCTCAGTTTTATTTGTATTTGTGCATGGGTTTATGTTTGTGTGTGTGGGGGGGGGGATTCAGTTTTATATTATGTAATTTCATGATGTGAGTAGGGTTCCATATCTTCCATCGCCCTTTAAACCCATACCTGCTTTTTGCTTCCTACTCTCCTGCCTCTACTCTGCCTTGTCCCTCCCCTTGGCAGCCACTGATCTGCTCTTCTTCTTTAGAATTTTGTCATTTCAAGAGCTTTCTGTAAATAGGCTCACATGGTATATAATCTTTCAGGATGGCCTTTTCTCATTCAGCATGATTCCCTGCAGCTTCATCTAAGTTGCCGTGTACATCACTAGTTCTTCTTTTTATTGTTGACTACTATTCGACGGTATGGGTGTACCGTGGTTTATCTGCTCACTGGTTGAACGATGTCTGGGTTGTTTCCAGTTTGGGGCTATTAGGAGTAAAGCTGCCATGTACACTCATGTACAAGGTTTCGGTGTGAACATCAGTTTTCATTTTTCTGAGATAATGCCCAAGAGCACAGTGGCTGGGTCTTATGGTCATGGTAAGCTGAGTTTTGTAAAATACTGCCTAACTGCTTTCCAGTGTACCTGTACCATTTCCATTCCCACCAGTGACTTATGATTGATCTAGTTTTTATGCGTGCATGATTCTCCTCTTTCTATTGCTCTTTCTTCCTTCTTTATGCTCTAAGACTCCTTCCTTCATCATATCGTTTTGGTCAGAAGATTTCCCTTTAGCCATGTTTTAAGGGTAAGTCAGCCAGCAAAGTTTTTTTTGTTTTGTTTTGTTTTTTTTTTTTGTTTTCCTTTGTCTGACGATGTCTTTATTTCTGCTTCATTCTTTTTTTTATTATGTTAATCACCATACATCATTAGTTTTTGATGTAGTGTTCCATGATTGTTTGCATAT